GTAGACTTCAGAACTCAAGCACATTTGTGTTAAACTTAAATATTTGTTTTTTTTTGTGGAGTCCAAAACTCTGACATCATTGAGTGAATGAAATAAGAAATAAATACCCGACGAAGGATTGTATTCCTCCCTCTACTACAGGTGAACACGGTTTGCATCAGCAGATTTTCACTTTAAACCTACACTTCCAGAATTTTACACGAACACCATCCGGGGTTTTAAAGTGGTTGCAAATTAAACCTTATTGAGAAATTGACGTGGAGTATGCAAACATAATTCCAGCCGCGCATAACCAATAAGAATAGTTTTTTTAACACATGATCTTTCTATAAGAATATTTAGCGGAGAGTCAATTCTCAATATAAAATTAGAATGTTAATGATTAAAACTGATGATTTTTTATTGTTCAACTTCAATCTATAAAGCACGTATAATATTACAAAGAAAAAATTAAAACAAACATTATACTGCTCTATAGCATGCAATTTATCCTAACATATTCCAACGTAATGATTAGCAAGAAAAATCAAGGTACTGATATTCGTCTAGGTTTTCAGTGAAAGTCCTCAAAATCAGCAATAAATTTATATGAAGTTCTCTAAACTCTAAAGTCGACAAAATCATAAACAGAATAACAAAAGGTATCTCCATTAAAACAAAATTAACTAACTGGAAGAAAATCAAATCAGAAGAAGAAGAAGAGGGGTATACTTTGGTCTTTGCGAAGAGCTCGACGCTTCTTAGGGTCAAGCCAGGTGGCGAGAGAACGTTGTTGGGAAGCAACGCTGTACATCTTGACACCATTGATGGAGGTCGACTTGAGTTTGCCTCCATCGTATGCCATGGAGCCACTAACTCAAAGGTTAGAGAGAAAGAGAAAGAGAGCTGCGCCTGTTTGTCAGAGTTGGAAAGCTTAGGCATAAACATAAATAATAATAAGAATTAGATGCAAATAAAAACCATTTAAACAAATTTGCTTCTAATATATACATCGGGACTAACAGAGAAGAGAGAAGTTGTTTGGCAGTGGCGTTGGAATAGAAAGTTTTGAGAGCTCAGAGAGGAGGTTAGTGATTCCGGCGACGACTTGTTCTCTGGCTTCGTGGTGGTGGCGGAGGGGAAAGAGAGAGAGATGCAGAGGGAGGAGGGGGCCTGTGCGACGGGGAAATGGGTTTAACTTAAACCTCGTCCAGTGATTAGATGTTGGAAGGTACATGCTATTTCTTCCAGAAACTACTGGTATGGTGACGCGTGTTACTTTTATTACAAATGGTACTTAGGTTTTGGTTCAGAATAATATCATACACAAAAATAAACATATAAGGTTAATTACTCAAATGGTCCTCAAATTTATACCCGATTTACATTTTGGTCTCTCAATTAAATTATTCGTTCAAATGGTCTATCAACTCTATATTATTTGGTCCATTGGTCCTATCGTTACACTCTGTCAATGTTGCCGTTAAATGTAAGGGTAAAACTGTCCATAATCGTCATAAGTTCATCAAATAGGTGATAAAGTGGTGATACAGTTGTGATAAATGGGTGATATAAATTGTTGTTTGTGTTCTCTTTCTCTCTCTCTCTCTCATGATCACCACCCTCAAGTTCCAACCCCTAAACCCATCCCACAACCACCCTCCACCCCAAGTCCCATGAAACCAGAACCCCAGCTCCTCTCCACCCTCCACCCAGGCCAACAAATACAGAAAAAGAAAAGAAAAAAAAAAA